TTTAGGGTTTAGGGTGTAGGGATACCTTAAATCTTATTAGGGTTCCCATTATAACTTAAAGTAGGATATTCCGGATTTTCCTTAATTAAGGAATATACCTTAAATCCTATTAGGGTTCCCATTATAACTTAAAGTAGGGTATTCCTTAACTAAGGGGTGTTGGAGTCATTGGGAACACGCTGCAGCCACAAATCGTAAACCTCGAGCTCGAGGGCTCTTCTTTGTCAAATCCGTCGCTCTAAAAGACCCTATAAGCCCTAAAACTCTTTCATATCCGAATCCCTTATCAGGCATAATGTAGGGCCCTGAATAGTCACCTTTACTATTTGGGGGGGGGGCTCCTTGTTAGAAATATATAGTATAACGGGCCCCAAAACCGTATGCTAATTACTAAGGCCCCTTATATTAAAACCGTAAAGCCTGAAGGCCCCATAAACTCTATAATTATAAAACCCAACAAAAAGCCCTATAAACCCGGAAACCCTAAAACCCGAACCCTTATCAGTCATAAAACCGTCAAAGCCTGAAGCCCCCAAAAAAACCCTCCAAACTTGAGTCTCAGCTTTCGGGTCCACGCCTGGAATTCGACGTCTCAGTCCAGGCTTTGGGCTGAGTGGTGCGCGATATCAAAACGAAGGGAGTTAGGGTTTAGGGTTTAGGGTTTAGGGAGTGTCCTGTACTTAGTCATAGGCTCCATCGTAGTTCCTTTTTGTGGCTTGTATTTAGGATCCTATAAGGTAATCCCAAAAAGGAACTACTATGGAGCCTCGGGGGCGCACACTGTATACTTACAGTATCTTATGATTATGATAGTCATGGTATCGTTAATAGTAGGCAGAGCTTGGAACCTCGTCCACACTCCTCTTTACTCTCGATAAACTTGCGCAGCTGCCGTCCTCTGCAAGCCAGCACCTCCTCCTCTCCTGTGTGTCGATTTCGATATTCACAAGCACAGTAGCTGCAGCTGTACAAAGACAGTGAGCAAAGAGGGGAATCTGGCGCGAGATTGCACTGTAGGGAACGAATTACAGAGGACACAACTGGCCATCTGAGAAACGTTAAACTGTTGTTGATAAGCTTCATCTTCACATCCTCAGAAGCTGCCACCGAGATCTGTAAGCAGAGAGGGATGGAAGCTGGTCTACTCAACGACGGATGCCTTGCTGTAGTCCAAGCTCTTGTTGTATTCTTCAAGCTGCTGCTGGACCTTTTCCAAGCGCTGCTGCTTTGTGGGAGCCTTTGCCAACGTCGTCCGTTCCAGCTCCAGCTCTTTGATGGCCTTGGGGAACTGTGCGGCTTCCAAGCGAGATCTGGTGACGTAGTCTATCTCTCCTGGCTTCGAGGCGGCATTCGCAGCATCAATCCCCTGCATGTACCCTGGCCGTACAACCTGAAAGTCTGGGCGTGCTCCTCCAGTTCCAGCCAATGCAGCCCGCGGCACCATAAACGCCACAAGGAGACCAGCCAACATTCCCATCGCGATGGGAGCTCCTGTGGTCGGAGCATCACCTGTTGCAGCAGACGCTGGTGGCGTGGGCTTCCAGGAGCTGCAGCGGGGAGGCGAGACGGGTACGAAACCCAGGGCAGTTCCCATGAACAGGGAGCCCAGCGCAAGCAACGCCACGAGAAGTGGCGAATGCACCATGATGTCTGCTTCCTCGTATGGCCGTAAGGCAAGCAGTGGGGCAAATGCTGCAGAGCCAGAAGTGCGCTCCGGGAAGGCATAGGATGGCAGGCAGCGTCATGACAAGGATGCTCGATGGAGACTACTGCATTCTACCATCGGGTCATGAGATCTTCCAACCTGTTGCATCGCACTTCTGGGGACCTGCAGATCTCTCAGCTTCGACAAAGGTCGTCAGGAAGTAAGGGCCCGGTATTGAAACTTACAAGACACTGCTTCATGTAACAAGAACAGGACAGTCGTAGCATCCCATCTAGTAATGTAGGGGCCTGAATAACTAGAATAGGGTTTTGCGGTATATCATACTATAAGTATATTAAGGAACCCGCGATTATCGTCTAGGTAATTATTTGGGCCCCCTATATTACCACCCGGGGACCTACTTGGGGATTTCCGAAAATAGGGGACCCTAACAAAGTACCTTAGATAGTAGGACCCTTACTATAGGGACCCCAAAATAACTTATTGGCTGAGTACCCTAGCCCAAAAAAGGTTAACCTTTCAATGATGGTAGGAGTATATCAAGCCCACAAAAGGGTCAAAGGTTCCTCAGCTACTAGGATAAGGTACGGGTGGATTTTTTTTGGGTTTTTTT